GGTTGACTAGGCTGCACACATGTTTGGCCATCTTGGATTCCTGTGTGAGATCGGAACTGCAAACTTCCATGGGACTAGAGGTTGCAGCACGACAGCTTGCAAGTGGGTCTACAGGTCGCAACAGAAGCAGTTACCTTGTGTGACTACAGGTCACAACAAATCAATTGCTATTGTGGTACTACAGGTCGCAACAGAACATTTCCTTGTGATACTAAAGGTCACGGCAAGTATTAAGAGGCCGCGCAACTTTTTCTTTTGGGGGGACTGGCAGATTTAGAAAGAAATCTCCTTGGGTAACAATCGCACTGATGCTTATTGGTACAGTGCCCGCTTGACTGACAGGAAACGCTGTTCCCAGATAGGGTCCTTATATACATGTCAGCAAGACAGGTCTCATCGATGGCAGAGAGAAGGGATATAGGAGGTGAGGGGTCCTAAATACCTTCTTTAGGTACGGAGGAACTTGGGCTCAGCCCCATGCAAATTATCCCCTAGGAATCCGTATGTTCCATACAGCTCTGACTCCCTCCACCTATCTGGTATCTCCGCTACTTCTAGGGCACCTTCCTCCAGTTCCTTTCTGACGGGAAGAATTCTCATCTTTCGCTGGGGTACAGCAGCAGCTTTCTAGAATACTTAGCAACTTGGGCTGTCTTGGACACAAGTGGAAGCATTCCTCCTCTCCCCCCTTCCCTATTAGCGGAGGAACCAGTGGAGGACGAGGTAGATGAAGACGAGAATGTTGCAGTAGAAGGGGATGCAGAGGAATCCTCATCCTAGAAATCTACGGCTTAAGAACATCAGGGTCAGTGTTTTTCTACGAGCCAAAAGGCCTTTTTGTGACTTTCTAGTGGAAGTTGTTTAGACTTATTTGAAGTTACTTGAACCCTCTACTCCAAAAGATACAGGATTTGTATTGTGGTGTTCTCCGCAACATTCTTATTTATAGGATGTTTTGTACGCAGACTGGCCTAACCCTAAAAGGTTTTCATTCCTCCAAAAAGAGTTACTCAGAAATAACTCATGGAGAGTGAGTTCACCCAAAAAAATGGAGTATGCCTTGGGTAGATCTAGCTGTTCTCAGAAAGGCCCTTATGTGTCCAGTGGACAAGGCTTTGGTATTTCACCACTTCAGTACTGGACACTTTCACCCATCTTCCTGCCCAGGCCAGTTTTCAGTTTTTAGCACTCCCTCACTTTGAATGACAATCGTGCCAAACTGCACCCAACTGAAATTTTTATAATTTTTTTTCTCCACACAAATACTATAGAGCTTTCTTTTGGTAGTATATAATCACCACTGGTTTTTTTTTTTCTTAAACAAAAAAACAGAAATTTTTTAAAATAAAAACGTTTGTTATAAAACTTTGCAAATAAGTAATTTTTCTTGATGGGCGCTGGTGATTCTGCACTGATGGGCGCTGGTGATTCTGCACTGATGGGCGCTGGTGATTCTGCACTGATGGGCGCTGGTGATTCTGCACTGATGGGCGCTGGTGATTCTGCACTGATGATTCTGCACTGATGGGCGCTGATGAGGCTGCACTGATGGGCGCTGATGAGGCTGCACTGATGGGCGCTGATGATTCTGCACTGATGGGCGCTGATGATTCTGCACTGATGGGCGCTGATGATTCTGCACTGATGGGCGCTGATGAGGCTGCACTGATGGGCGCTGATGATTCTGCACTGATGGGCGCTGGTGATTCTGCACTGATGGGCGCTGATGGGGCTTCAATGATAATCAGGGTGCTGATGGGGCTTCAGTGATAATCAGGGCACTGATGATCAGTGCCCTGATTATCAGTGTAAACAATGTACTGTACTGGCTTGTCTTTCCTCACACAGAGACAGCGTGAGGAATTGAAAATGCCAATCACCGGCAAGTCTTTTTATATGGGACACAGCTGATCACATGGTAAAGGGCCTCTGTGATTGGTGATTTAACTCTTGGAGGGCTGCAGCTGTTGCACCTTGGACTTGCGGCCCGGCAGACTGCGCCCCCCTAAATGTTGCGCCTGGGGCTACCGCATCGGCTGCCCCCACCACGCTTCGCCACTGGACTCCTGGGCTATTCACCATCAGGCTTCAATAGTTCAAGTTTGTAAAGCTGCTACCATTCTTCTGTTTTTACCTTTTATAAAGTTTTAGCAAGTGGATGTTTGAGCCATTGAGGCCCTACCTTAGGTTGACATGTTTTGCAGGCTGTAGCATGAGGTTCTAACCTGTTCTGGTTTAGTTAGTGCGAGTGAGTTGGCTTGTTACATCATAGGGCACAGGGATCCCACCCCTCTGCCGTTTCGGTTTATAACTTGTTACAAAAACTGAAGCCTTGCCTGATAGGAATTGGTTATGTCTAGTAGGGGATTTCCTGCCTTTTTATTGCCAGAGTTCAATCACTTGAAGTGGCTGTGTAATCCTATTGACTGACCTTAGAATGTTTACTGTTGTGTAGAAGGCTTGTTACAAGAACATACACCTAACCTGGATTTTATATCAAGATCTCAGTAAAAAACAAGGTACAATGAGGGATTTTCCAGATTTGCCTCAACAGGATTCTAGTGCCTGCAAAGTCAGTGTAACACAAAACAAAAACTGCTGGGAACAAGAGAAAGATGTTCTTTGCATGTTTCTCCTGTCAAAAAATTATATCTCCTAGCATTTACAGTTGCAAGAAAAAGTATGTGAACCCCTTGGGATTACGTGGAGTTTTGCATGAATTGGGCATAAAATGTGCTCTGAACGTCATCTAAGTCACAACAATAGAAGAACACAGTCTGCTGAACATAATACTACACAAACATTAGATGTTGCCATGGTTTAATTGCACATAACATGTAAACACTCTCACAGTGCAGGGAGGAAAAAGTATGTGAGGCCCTAGCTTAATGACTTCTCCCAGAGCTAATTGGAGCCAGGAGTGAGCCAACCTTGACTCCAATCAGTGTGATGATATTAGATATGTTGCTGACAGCTGTCCTGCCCTTAAAAAACACACACCTGTTTTGGGTTTACTGGTTTCAAGAAGCACTGTCTGATGTGAACCATGCCTCGCAGAAAATCTACAATAAGGAAAACATTAAACAAGAATGGAGTACATGGGAGGACACCACGGAGGAAGCCATTGCTGTCCAAAAAGAATATTGCAGCACGTTTGAAGTTTGCAAAAGAGCACCTGGATGTTCCACAGCACTACTGGCAAAATATACTGTGGACAGATGAAACCAAGATTGAGTTGTTTGGGAAGAACACACAACACTATGTGTGGAGAAAAAAAGGCACAGCACACCAACATCAAAACCTCATCCCCACTGTGAAACATGGCGGAGGGAGCATCATGGTTTGGGGCTGCTTTGCTGCCTCAGGGCCTGGACGGATTGTTGTCATTGATGGGAAATGAATTCCAGAGTTTATCAAGACATTTTGCAGGAAAACGTACGACCATCTGTCCGCCAACTGAAGCTCCGCAGAGGATGGGTGATGCAACAGGACAATGACCCAAAGCATACAAGTAATTCAACAAAACAATGGCTGCAACAGCACAGAATACGCCTTCTGAAGTGGCCCAGTCAGAGTCCTGACCTCAACCCGATTGAAATGCTGTGGCATGATCTTAAGAACGATTCACACTAGACATCCCAAGAATATTGCTACACTGAAACAGTTTTGTGAAGAGGAGTGGTCCAAAATTACTCCAGATCGTTGTGCAGGTCTGATCTGCAACTACAGGAAACGTTTGGTTGAGGTTATTGCTGCCAAAGGAGGGTCAACCAGTTATTAAGTGCAAAGGTTCAAATTCTTTTTCCTCCCTGCACTGTGAATGTTTACATGTTATGTGCAATTAAACCACGGCAACATCTAATGTTTGTGTAGTATTATGTTCAGCAGACTGTGTTCTTCTATTGTTGTGACTTAGATGACGTTCAGAGCACATTTTATGCCCAATTCATGCAAAACTCCACGTAATCCCAAGGGGTTCACATACTTTTTCTTGCAACTGTATTTATTTCATGAGCTTAGTTTTATTCACACAAGGAAAAGAATCTTTTCTTTCAGCCATGTGACTATAATTTTCAAATGTCATTGGATTCATCTGAAAATAACTGTAAAATTTTTAAAAATAATGATCCTTACCACTGTGTGTTAGATTTGTGAATTGAGCTTATTGATTATCACGTGTGCAGTCATTTCCCAACTGTTATGTCTCAAGTGTTGATTTGAGAATTAAAAGGAGATTGTAATTGGTTGATAGGGGCAATGTTTTTTTTTTTCAGACACTTTCAAACATTTGACTGTCTTTTTATACCTTTGTATCGTAATTCTAGGAATGCACCCACACCATCACGCTGCTGTCCTGCAGTTGGTTGTCTTTACAACACAAATACTCTGGTCTCCTTCAAGTCATGTGATAAGAAGGCTTTGCTGGACCAAGCAGCTAATGAGGTGATCTACTTTTGGCTAGCTATCCACTTCGATTTTATTTGTCTGTTTCTTTCAGAACTGTCTCATTTAATATTTTTATACAGTATTTATATAGCGCTAAAGGGTATGCTCAGCGCTGTACAGTAGCAAGGGGGACAGAACATGAGACAAGACAGTAACAATACAATACACGAGGGGTTCGAGGGCCCTGCTCTTTCGAGCTTACATTCTAGGAGACTCCACATAATATTTTTAAAAAGGCTTGTATTTATTTAGGGTAGAGTTGATGGGCATTAAAGTGTTACTAAACCCACAACAGTAAAATCAGTCTGTATATGCAGTAAAGCATTCTTGTTATACTCACTGTGGAACCTAAGGGGTTAATCCTCTGCATTGTGTAAAAATAATGGTTGATCCTGACTGCTCTGATTCTCCCCTTCTCTCAGTGTCTGCTAAATATCTCATGATAGATCAGAGGCGCTGGGGTAGGCTGCACATGATCAGTTTGCTGTGTATAGCTAGAGATTTTTTTTTTTTCTTGGGAGAGTGCATGTGATCAGCACAAGGCCAATCCGTACTGTCCAGACAGAGGTCAGGGGTTCTGCATCCTCCTACAGAAGAATGAAAACACTGATAGATGTCACAAGACTGCTCTAACTTCTGATGAGAAAAGGTATTTAGCAGTTTATATTTACTATAATAATTGAAATTCCATGTTTTTTGTACTATGGGAGATCAGATATAGTGAATGCAGGGTCCTGGGTTTAGTAACACTTTAAGAATAGAGATACCTAAGAAGCAGGTATCCAGTAAATATTGAAAATATGATCTTTCTGCCCAAATGTGATGTTCAGTTGAAGGTAGAATCTTGAGCATATATTGTTCAGGGACTCCTGCAGTGAGATGTTTCCTGGAGTGCGGGTTGTTCTTACTATGGCTATTTTATTCACTTTAAAATAGAATAAAGAAACAACAGGAGTTGTGAAACTTTATAATAATGGTTCTGAAAGACATGCATGTTGTGGAACTTTAGTGCAAAGATCTTGAGCCCAGAGTACCTGTTAATTAGTACTAACAGCTTGCAACTGGAAATGCTGTCACTGGTGGGATACCCATTTAAAAAACACTTGACAACAGATTAAAAAATAATTTGCTTAAATAAACTGTGAAGTAAGACATGATTCCAAACATACTGAAAAAGGTTTTATCATTTACATTTTGAGTATAGGTTCAATTTTATATAACTGCACACACATGCATATACATTAGTCTGCACTAAAAAGGCCTGTATGTTTGTTTGTTTGTTTGTTTGTTTTTTTATAGCAAAGATGGTATCTAAATCACTGTTCTGTTTTTCTTACAGCAGAATGATGGTATCACTAGATAATAGAAGGGCAGAATTATTAGCACTGTAACCCTGGATGTGCAGTGATGCATACCATGCACACCTTGCACCTTGGTGAATTTATCAGGAAATGTCCTAATTTAGTAGACTATATTTTTTATATCAAACAGTCATGGTATTCAACTTTAAAGGATCATGTCATTCAAATCTGATTCAGAGCAGAGTTTTTCAGTTCTTAAGCTTTTGATCCAAGACAGAGTTTAAAAGTGTCCATAAAAAGTCCATTCCAGACATTTGGGCATAGTTGGTAAGAAGTAGAACCCTTGTTAAGTTTTAACTGCTATATAGGACATTATTAGGCCTTTCCCTTCACTAAGGCTATGTTCACACTAGAGTGGCTGCAATTTCATCTCATTTTCAGTGCGATTATGTAGTGCAGTGTTACATTTTGATCCGTTTTTTTATGTGTTTTAATGTGTTTTTGGTACTACTGTGTTTCAACTCATCCATTTTTTGTTAAGGAGCTGGCACTAACTACCAATGTCTCATCTCTGCTGTCAGTCAGCCAGGGATTCCCCATATAGTACCCCCCCACCCATGTTGAGGGCATGTGACCTGGTATGGTTCAGCCCTCCTTTCCTGGGCTGCATGCTAGGATAAAGGTTTTGACTTGGGGTCCTCAAAGTCCAACCAAAGAGCCTGCTTTGAATTGTGGGGGGTTGGACCTCCACATTTTTGTGTTTTTTTTTTTTTTAACTGATGGGCTCATTGGTTTATATTTTACTGTGAGCTGGGATCCCCTGGATGACATCAGAGATCAGTCACTGGTTATTAGGATGTCAGCTCTTTAACAACCAGTGACTCATCCCTGCTATCAAAAAAATCAAAAACTCAGTAAAAATGCATGTACAAACTTTTTTGGTATGTCTTCATTGAAGTCTGTGGGGCACAAAATTGTGCTGCATTGCACCAAGAGTCGCAGTTGCGTTGTATTGATGTGAATGGGCACCATTTAAATCAATGCGATTTCCATTGTCATGTGTGCGACTGAAATTGAATCTAAAATTGCACGTGTGAGAACCAGGCCTTACTGTCCCTATTTCAACAGTTTTACCAGACAGGAAAAATCTGTATCAAGGACAAAGACAGCATTAATAAATAAATAAATCGATTGTATTAAACATTGTAAATTTTATTTCACAACTCTTAAAAACATTAAAAATCCAAACATATAAGTTTAAAACGTGCAGTATTTATGATATATCATGACTATATAACTAGGTATTATCAATCAGTGCATATTATCACAACTAAAGTTCAGCTTTAAAGCTCGGAAATTAGCAAAGTTTAAAGTGTTTGTCAAGCCAAAACCTTTTTTCTGTATTATTGGATAGAACGGGAAGGAATTGGAACTACTATTTTTTTTTTCTTTGCTATCTGAGGTTATGTTACAGAGACGTGTACAGAAGTCTGCCTGGATAAACATTGAATGGATAGTTTAAGTGGGTCTTTATATTACATAGATTTAGCAAATCTAAAGGTGATCTAAGATATTTAAAGATTGTACAGTCATATTGTAATGTGTATAGTGATATTAAAGACTGCCTCTCAGAATTCATTTATACATGTGGATTTATGTGAACTTCTTTTCACTGAAAAGTTCCTTTTAACACCTCAATTATATACGGTGCATATCAACTGCAATACAAAATAAGTTTTAACTCTAAGCTATTGCCATTTTTGCAGATATGGGAAGCAATCAAGTCTGGAGCAGCTCTTCAGGAGCCTGTGCTCCTTAATAAATTTATCCTGTTGACATTTGCAGTAAGTAATTTTATTTACATTTCAGTTTTGTTCACATACTTAAAAATGACCTTCACTTAGGCTTCATGCACACTGGGTGTTTTAATAACGCCGGTAACATTAGCTGTGTAAAGTCACGTTAAAAACCTGAGTTTGTCAGCGTTTGTTAGCAATTTTGTATTAGCGTTTAGCTGCCTTTTTTTTGCATTTTGAGTTTTGTTTTTACCTCGTTTGCTGCGATTTACTGCATTTTTCTGCATTTTTCAGAGTTAGAGCGTTTTTATAGCTAAAAAAAACTCCTCTAGAAACCCACTAGTTCTGGTAATTTTTTTCCAGCCAAAAAACGTCCCTGGCAAAAAACATTGATTACAGTCTATATGTGCATGGACACATAGGATAACATGCTGGAGGGTTTACTAGCTGTAGAGAAAAACATCAAAAGCCAAAAACAGCAGCTGTGAAAACGTCCGGTGTGCATGAGGACTTAAAACCATTTTAATTTTTTTGTGGAGGATAGTGCAGACAACCTCTGTGTAATACTGTACAGTCTTCTCAATATTTCAGGCTGATATCCACCTTCTTGAAGTATTCATTATACTCTAACCCTCTCTGTTCTTGCTGTTGCTCAATTAGGAAGGATGCTTTGAGAGAAGAAATTGTATTGTAACACTAAAACTTGATTAGGGTAGTATACAGAACAATTTGAAAAAAAAATTCCGTATGGACCAGGCACAACAAGATCCAGCAGATACCCTCTTCCTTTGGTTGGGACCTTGGTTTGGTTCTAGATATCATGACTAAATTCCCCTTCAAACCATTGGATGGCAGACCTGAAACATTTGACTCTTCAGCTTGCTTTCATGGTAGCCATAACTTTGGTTCAGAACCTCTGAACTCAAAGCTTTTTCCGTTAAAGTGATTGTAAACCCTCACATTTACCCAGGGCAGCCTGTCTCCATGACATCAGTTCAAAGGCCAGAATTGACGTAGCATTTCTCAGCTTCAAAAAGCAGGGGCGAGGATCTGAAGTTGTATTCCACAGATATCAGTGTGGAGAGCTCTGAGAGCTGATTGAAGCGAGGGGTCACATTCTCTTCACACAGGAACAGAACTGAGGCTGGCAATCACAGGCTGAGTGCTGGCGGTCCCTCTCCTGTCATCTTTTTTTCCCTCTTGTTCAGAAGTGAATTATGCAGATAACCGAGGAACAAGGCAGCAGACAGAAAAAACACTAAGGGCTCTTTTTACACCTGCTTTGACTTCAACACACATTAAAGCACCTACTGCTTCAACATGCTTTTTTGATGTGTTTTTGATGCTTCTGCAATGCTACGATGATGCTTTCTTTAAGCTCTTATGAAGCTTGGCAGATGGCCTGTGTGTGGTGTTGATATCTCATACCTGCAATAGCTCCAGAACAAAGCTAAGCTGAAGCTGAATATCAGCTGTAAGTGAGCTTGGTTATAGACTTCTATGGAAGCTTTGAAGACTGTTTGAAGCACCACTAAAACGACAAAGTAGTCCCCCTCCCCCCCTTCCTTTCCTGACCTTACGAGCTGTATACTCAGATAAGGGTCTGGTATGAATTTTGGGGGGGACCCCCACGCCATTTTTTTTTTTTAATATTTCCGTGAGAGTTCCATTCAAAATCCATACCAAACCCGAAGGGTTTGATATGGATGGGAGGGGTGATCCCAATATTTCTAGCACAAGAGCTTCTAGTTAACTTTAAACTGATGAGCTGTAAAGTCTTTTAAAGCGTCACCTATGGTGATTTTCTTTGGCACTGTAGTTTTTTGCGATATCAAGGGCGCACACAATTTTTGGACATGGCATGTTTGGTATCTATTTACTGGACACAACCTCATCTTTTATAGTTTTCCAAAAAATGGGTATTATATTGTGTGTTTGCACTAAAATGAATTTTATTATATTTTATCCTGAAAATTTGCATTTAATAAACAGTTATGAAAATATTATGTGACATAAAAATTTGCAACCATCACCTTTTTATTCCACAGGGCCTCTGCTTTCATAAAATATATCATGTTCTGTGAGTTTAAGTAATTTTATTGCCAAAAATGAAAATTTTAACGTGTGCGGAAAAATAAAAAAAATAGCTCTGAAGCCGAACTACTTGTTCCTGCCATTGCATAAAATAGGTCTGTTACATGTGTTAAAGTATCAGTATACCCCAAAATTGTATTCAAGATTTGGAAAGATGTCAGTTGATTAAATGGCAGAAAGAAAACTAATGGTTGGATGTGTCTTGGGTGTCTTAGTGGAGAATCATCAATAGATACTTGGGTGAATTCATTATTTAAATGAAATAATACTTGGGAATGTATTACTATTTACATTTTCACGTGCCCCTGTTCCACTTTTGTTGTAGGACTTGAAGAAGTATCGTTTTTTATTATTGGTTTTGTTTCCCTGCATTGTC